TTTGATGGATAATTGAAAGCAGCTTGCTTGAGAAATGATGTGTATCCTCGCTGCACAGAGGGAATTTCTGCAGCCCATTTAGCAAGCCATCAAGTGGGGCTCCATCACCACAAATACCGCAAAGTGGCACGAAAACATTCAGAATCCCAAAAGCTCAAAGCTCTTAGTGTTCACTCAGCCAGATCTGCGTAGGTTGTTGTCCCCATTGCGTGTATCGTACCTTAGAAAAAGGTGAAAAACAACAGGGATAAAGTAGGAGGATTGAAGGGAAGAGGAGGAGGTGGGATGTGTATGTGCGTGTCTTTGCATCTGTTTGCTGTGTATATGACCAGGACGGGCAGACCCCCCCCACCCCCCTGCATTCGTTCATGCACTGCGGGTGAGGAGGGAGGAGGAGGAAAAGAAGCAGATGCATGGCTTTTTACATTAGGCCTTTCATCTCTCTCCTGCCATCGGTCATCAGAAATGTGAGAACAAAACTCCCAAACACTGCACTATATTCCAATATCGTTTAGCTTCGGCTGAGACACGAAAAAATGAGAGAATAAAGAAAGCTATACTACAATGTCCCAAAAGGACCCAAAACAATTATTCATGCACAAAGGAATTTAACTGTAATGTTTCAGCGCCAGTAAAAACAAAAGAATACTCTTGGGTTTCAAATAAAGAGGTTCTTCCATCAGGCAAAAGCTATTTCTAACGTTAATAGTCATGAAATACTTCCTGTAGACTTTGTAGTCCAAAAGAGAAGCAAAAATGTTAGGCAAAAGGTCAATGCTTAACGACATCAGGACAACAAACTTATTATAAAATATGTCTCTTCTTCAGAGTGCTCTGTATGTCTCAGAAAAACAAACATACAGATGAAAATAAAGTCTTTCTCACACAGCCTGTCAGTGAGGCTCGCTGGGTGATTTTTAATATGCTATGGCCACAATTCGACATGCATAATGATGAAATTTTTTTTGTGTTTTCAAGGGGTCGCTTCAGAGAGAATCAAATGTTTACGAGTGTTGTGAAAACTTGCCCTCAGAAATCATGGGAACAACATCTTTGGGCCATTTGTTTGCCTTCACACAAGTTATTTGTCCAGTTAATGCTGCACAAACAGTCATTCATAAACAGTGAGGAGCAGACTGGGACATATTCACTGAGAGAAAATGTTGAAAACGGAGCAATGATGGTGAAGAGATGCGAGATTCGTGCAGTAGTACTCATTTTCAGAATTTCGTTTATTTAAGCTAATTATTCCCGTAGATAAAATAAGAACCACAAAGAAAGACTAACGAAACGCACTTCTTCCGGAAACGGCTGAAAGATATATTCTCCAACGCCACCGGTGTAGAGCAGCATGCTTTCTAACACCAGTGATAAAACGGGTATTCTTCACTTTTCTCCGATATCTGCTGTGAACCACAGTTATGACAGCTGAAGGGTTATTACCAATTACACTGGCTGTGTCTCTATGCCTGTGTGACAGGGGGGGGGGGACGACAGAACAGCTGAGCCTCTGCCACAGGAGGTAACACAGAGAGAGACAAGCAGCAGTCAAGCAGTCATACTGAAAAAGAATCTCCTCAGGACCACAGAAGTGAGAACAGAAACGACAAGAGAGAAGGATTTAGATACCGAGCCTTGCAGCTGGTGATATAAAAACTTGAGCGATATGTTGTTTTATCAGACAACCTGCAGACATCTTCAGAAATTGTCTTGTCTAAAAACATGTTGCCACAACATAAGCAATATTAACTTTAACGATTCACTTGATGGAGCTCACAGATGAGTTTAAAAAACATCAGCAGTGAGCTGGAAGTCATTTGAGAGTAAATGTTGGACCTTTAACAAAATTACAAAGCCATTTTTCAGTCTAGGACTCATTTAATTTCGCAGCTGATTGTCCGGTGGGATGCCAGTGACCTTTTCCATTAGGCACAATTTATTATCCAGCAAGAATAAAGTGATGTTGAGGCACATGGTCATGTCTCCACAATAACTACACTCTGATTTCTAGTGGGAATTAATGAGATATTTTGGAATAGCAATTCAGACTAAATAAAACTCTCATTATCTGAGAGAGGATCACAAGAAGTTCTTGTTGGTGCCTCATCTCTTTGACAAATAAAATAGTTCCTAGACTGTATGTGAACTATCCTTTTAGATACCACAAATGATGTGTTATTTAAACTCATTTTGAACCGGATTTTTTTTTATGTATAAAATTCCTTTTTTCATATAGTTGAAATGTAAATGTTTACATTCGTCTGGTCAATTTTATATTCTTACCGTCATAGAGGCAGTAACAGAACAGTTGTGCTACTAATGGATTAAAATGAAACAGTTTCAGCCATGTGTCCTTACTTTTAGCAAACTAATACGACTACCCTGTGGGTTGCTTACTAGCTTTTGTGCACTCTAAAAGGCAACATGTTGTTACAGCTGTGTATACTGTATATTGATTATTTAAAGCTATTAAACAATGTTTTACTTAAAATATTTCCCATGGCTACTGCGGAAGTGCTCCCTAGGGTACAAGTAAAACTAGTTAGAAAAAACTATTCCAAAACACATATCCTCTTAATGTTTTAAGAGGGTACTTTGTTGAAAATGGGGGGGATAATAATGAATTACCGACTACAGCAATGCCCCCACTGGGGAACAGAAAATCATCTGTTGTTCAAAGTCTGAAAATACCTGAAGCTCAGATTAACTAGGAGGTCGGGGAATAAGGAGCCACAATAAAATTAGAAAAATGCAAAACACAATCAAAACAACATGCATCGGAGGCTGCAGCAAAACATCCTTATTAGAAATCACCCATCATGTCAACAGGTAAACGGATCTATGGTTTTCTGTTCGGAGAGAAACGAATATAGGGCTTGTGCTCCTGAAATCCTTTGTTCCTTCTCTGCTCCGCTGGATCAAGAGTTCATTCTGCTCAGAGTGACTGTGGGCTGCAAATGACAGCGGTGAATTAATGATTCATTATGCCCAAAGTAAGCAAATAGTGAGCCGGGAATGGAAGGAAATGGATTTACACATATCCAACGCCAACCATGACATTTCTTCATAGGAAATATTCCTATACCCACGTCATATTCCGTTAAAAGCAGCTCTGGTTTGTTAAACCACATTATAAAAAATAAAAAAGGACATGCCAAATGTGCTGTTCAGATCCACACGTTTTTTTATTTTATTGGAGACATACTTCTTAAGAAATCTTAAACCAGAAAACGTCGACATTGGTAATCATTCATTATAAATGGGATATATTGCTTGTTCAGCCTGGGGCTTTCTTCTAAATGAATTTTCCATTTTCTTTTCATCCAAGCCGGTCACTTGAGTCCTCACCACATCTGCCATATGTTCCGAAGTACAAGATTAAGTATAAGTATAAAAAACTGAACTTGAGTCTTTTGAGTCCACAGGGTGCTTGATGATGTAGAGGACATCATAAAAATGTAATAGGTCATGTTGAAAATATGTCTCCTCTTTGTAATTATTGAATTGCAGAACGTGTACTACATGCCTAATCCATTAAGAGACACACCAATGCTCTCACTGATGATGAGCTTAGGAACAGTTTGTGTCCAACACAGAAGACATTTTTCTCTGGTTCAGAACTTCGGGCAATAATACGAAAGCTCTTTTCAGGTTTGCACATGCAACTCGACAAACCTCTTAATCTCCTGTGTCCACGGATAACCTCAAGGCTGTAAATTCAGCGGAGCATCACAGATTAGAGTCTTGCTTCTCTACTTTCTATTTTAGGGAGAGTGTTGTTCAAGTTCACAACTGTTATATCATCCCTTCCTTTTACCTTTTCCCATTTCACCTTTCCTCTCTGTCTTTGACACAGCCCAAAGGGATAGTAAGTGTGAATTAGTCAATTAAGTCTAACTCATGTTTTAGGTAATAAGAAAAGTTGAGGGCTTGTAAATCTCCAGTGCACCAACCGACTAACACTTCTCTCCTGTCCTGTGAGCTAGTGTTAATGTATTACAAAGAGTAATGTCCAAATAAAAGAACACATCAACAGATGATACAATCTTTCAAACTCCAGAGACGTAAAGTTTGAAATGGATGATCTTATCAGACAGGAGGACTTATGAGCGGGTTAAACATAGAGCCAGGGAGGTCTAGGGGTCTTATGGACGTATCGAGAGCCATCTGCATACGTCGTTCTGATGGATGAGGCAGGAGCAGAGATCGAATGACCTCGCTGTTTGGACAGGAGTCGTGTTAGGTCGGGTCTCGGCCTGTCACTGACTGATGGCTGCATTGAGCGTTGTCACGACAAAGCTTCGATAATGACACTGAGGGTTATAGTCTGTTGTCTGAGGTGAGGGGTAAACGCTAATCAATGTGAATGCATTTCTGTAGTAGAGAAAAGAAAGTAAAGTAAATGCTGTCAGCAAATAACAGACTTAACTTGAAATCTGGAAAAGTGTTCCACAGCAGCGAATAAATTCGGAGCTTATTAAACGACAAGGGATTTCATGCCCCTGCAGCGAGGGATTTATAAAACACCCTACTGTAGAAAATCTCCTAATAGGGACACTGTTTCAAAGCTGATTCCATAACAATACAACATGATTAAAATATTTTATACCTAGGCATCGTAGGATCTATGGCATATACTGTAGTTACAATAAGAAGAAAAACTAAAACCACATCCGTACATACAGTAGATAGAAACAGCAATTACTTTTCTTTGAGGTATTTTGTTGTTCCTGCTCAAAATGTGTGGAAGTAATGATAACAAACTTACATAAACTTACAAAGCTTTGGCATTTGAATGTGTTTTGTAAAAGAAAGAAAAAGTGACTGCAGCTCAAAGGGGAAAATGCCTCGGATGCATCTGCAATGCGAATTGTCATTTCATTTTTTTTTTTGTATGGCTCTGTGAAGCATTTCACAGAGACAAATGGATTCTTATTCAAGCTCCCGGACTCTTATCACCCGGTAAACGTTTAATTCAATAAATTAGGGAGTTTCAGTACCTGTTTTGTTGTATTATTGTCCGTGTGTTGGGAGGTCAGACACACTGTGCTGCAGAGCCTGATGGACAGGTTTCCGTTCAGTTCAATCATTGGACTTGATTTGCAGTTTGGTGCAAAAGATGGAAAACACAGCAACAAAAGTTACAACTAACAATACAAAAACAAAGCATCAAAACAACGGCACATCCTGTCAAAGCTGTAGGAATGCACAGCATACAGTATTGTACTTAAATAATGATGCAGTAAACAGATGCATCCGATTCATCTGGCCAGACAATTTGTTCCGATTAATTAAAGAACCGGATTAAAATGATGACTGATTTCTCATTTCACCCTCCAGCAGCTCTTTGACATATTCAGCAGGGACACCTGGCACGGTAAAGAATGAAAAGAGTCAAAACAGACGAGTGGAGGAATTTCCACTGTCTGGCGTCTCAAGCATTTTGGCCTTGTTAATGTTACTGTTCAGTGACAAAGCATTTCCTACAGCAGCCAAGCAGTATCATTCCCAACTTGACCAACCGGCTACTTTCAAACACATTTGGCAGTTATATGATTAACTTTCTTCACATTAGTAAAATAAACCAACCATGGAATTAAGAAGGAGACCAAACACTGGATTGTGAGCAATGTAAATAACTTCTGCCACATCCTGATTATGATATATGGAGAGCAGAGTGCCGTACTCAAGGCTGCTGCCAAAGCTGAGATACAATAAAAGGGGTCATTACCAAAACAGGGAAGTGACTCAGACTGTTTCACTTGCTCTCCAAAGAGCCGTTGATCATTGTTAATTTATTATATAACGTCAGATCCTGATATCTAACATTCAAATAATAAATAGAGAGGCAGCAGAGAGGTCGCAGGGTTATCCCGCTCCCCTGGTGGTTCTCAGCAGCTCAGGATTAAGCAGGATGTGACTGATGTAATGATAGGAGCTTATGGAAAATGAAGCAGATGACTAAAACTCTAACTGCCCCTGCATGTCTCTGTTGAAAAGCAGATTTAATGAGATTAATTTAAAGAGCTTTATGGAGACTAATCTGGATTTTAAAACAAAGTTGTTAAATAAACATGAACAGCAAAGAGGAAAGAACAAAGAGGTGGCAAAGCCTGAGAGAAAACTTTAGCAGGAGATTAATCAGGGTCATGGAAAACATGTAGCCCTTTAAATGAAACACTGCAGCGACCACAAACGTGTGAGCAGAGCGGCAGCGGCTCAAACCCGAATTGTACTGTATTGTATGTATGTTTATGTATGTTTTGTGTGTGTGAGGACCCCAGGAAGAATAGCCAATGCTCATGCTAGTGCTAATGGGGATCCTAATAAAGACAATACTCTCAGTATTTACGGTACTTGCTAGAACGCCGTACCCTGTTGGAGGTTTTAATTATTCAAAGCCAATCTGTGCTGTTTTATTTTGTAATGACAACATCTGTAGCCCTTTGACAACAACATGTAGCCCTTTAAATGAAACACTGCAGCGAACACAAACGTGTGAGCAGAGCGGCAGCAGCTCAAACCCTAATTGTACTGTCAGTATTTACGGTACTTGCTAGATCGCAGTACCCTGTTGGAGGTTTTAATTATTCAAAGCCACTCTGTGCTGTTTTATTTTGTAATGACAACATCTGTTAAATTGTTATGATGGCATAAGTGTGTTTGTTGCAAAGTTAAGTAGAAAACTTGCTTGTTACTTTCAGGCTTTTTCATATCAGTGGACACAGGTGAGATTTATTACGTTTCTCCAAGGAGTGCAGATAGGAATTAGCTCAGAGCTAAATATGTTACAATACATCTCGTCAGGTTGTAAGCATACTTTTTTTTTTGTACATAGTCGCTGATAACTAAATGTAGTAAATAAGTGAGCAATGCTGTCACTCTGTGAGCTCCCTATTACTTTCATCCGGAGTGGAATATTTAAACCATACTGTCGTTACATATTTTACAGATATTCTTGCTGCCTAGAGGAGAAATAACACTGATTATGATGATTGCCTTCCTCCTTCTATGGAGCCACTGTGAGTGAAATGTCTCAACAACTACAGGATAGATTGCCATTCAATTTGGCAAAGGATTTAAGGGATTGGGATGATTTGAAATGACTTTCGTGATCCCCTGACGTTTTTTACTATCGTAAAGTTATTTTTTAATATCTCGATTCCTTTGCTAAGGATGTGAAAAGCTGTAAAATGAACTCCTTTCCATTAGCCTTAGCTGTACTTTGTGTTGAGTTCTAAATAGTGGTGCTACGTCATCCTTATCAGTGCAGTGACTTTTATTCAAGTCAGTAAAATACTAAAACTAAAATAGAGTCCTGCTCCGTGCCTCTGCCAGCTTTACCGCTGGAGAAGCCCTTGTTTGCCGCTATGATTTTAGGAGATTTAAACGGAGCTCTCTGCCAGGACTCCAGACTTTATAAATCAAGCTGATTTACCCATTGTATTTTCATATTTACAACATATATTGAGCTGAATAAATATTGATAAATAATAAGTTCACACAACTCCAGTCTGTTGCCTGTATATGCAATAAATATGCCCAGCTTGGGTTATGATTACATTTCAAAGAAACACAGAGGGTACCGAGCCAATAAACAGTTTTCTTTTTTTTTTTCTACCAAGATACACTGCCAGAAACTTTTGTATGGAGACATGCCAGGCAATTCCATCCATCCTCTCTAGCTGCTGGCCTGCTTTCCCTCCCAAAGACACCACTAAAGTTAATGTACTCTGGCTGTAGCTCTCCACCAAATCTCCCCCATTCCTCTAATACCTCAGAATCTGTTCAGCTTGTCCTACGAAGATTTAAAATTGGATGGAGACTAAAATGAAATGTACTTTTTCATTTTCTTTCACAAAGCTGTCTGATAAGGCTTGTGGCTGTTATTGCCTAAGGGTGCAGCTGATAAGGATGAACACAACATAATACAGATGACCAATCCTAAAACCTACTCCAGTGATTCATGTCATTGCCCTTCTCCCACAATGCTTTCATGCCATGCCAAGTTACACACATTCCTGCGATGAGCTCCAGATTATTATCACCTTGCTAAGTGGAAGTAATCCCCGGGGAGGCGTTCAAGGTTTACGCCGGTCCATCAACAAAACACGGAGGAGTGGAAATACCATCAAGGGAAAGCTGGCATTCCCTAATCAATAAAGAGAGTTTAGGCTCTATAGAGACTAAATCCAGGTTGTTGTTTTGCATAAATGTAAGCTTTAAGTTTAATTTCCTTAATTTAATTGTAAGGGGTTCATAGTGCTTAAAAAATGGGTATCTTATCTGTGTTCCAGAACTGTTTGTTGGTCCTGACAATAAAAAGTGAGTGAGTGAGGAGCTCATTAAGTCAAACCTTCAATTGTGTTGATGGACTAAAAAGGTTTCACCTCTACTTCACAATCATGCTGTTGTCTGCTTGTTGCCATTATGAAACACCTCAAATCCCCAGAGCAACATTGTACATCTGCGATCCTCTTCTAATTCAGTCTCAGCTTTTAACCTGTCCAACAGTAGACTCCAAAACACAATAAAGTTCTGAACCACACACTTCTTAAAATGCACCCTGACAAGAGAGCAAATTGGTGAAAAAAAATGTTCATACCCTTTTGTTGCTTTAGCCTGTAAATGTCAGCGGAGGATTTGATTCCTCGGCCCGGGCATGTCCTACTGGCTTGGATTAATTCTCCTCTACCGAATTTAGCCAGGGGGCTCGCTCCACATCCAGCCCTCGCCTGTTACAAGTCCTACAACTCCTGTCTCTTTTTGAAATGTCAGTCAAACAGAAAATGGATGAAAACTCAAAGACAGGTGCTGGTTTGAACTCCTTTAAAATACGGGGCAAATTGTCACTCTTACACTTGCTTCAGGGCAAAAGAACTCGGAAAGTCAAAATTTCAGGTAGTGCTGTTCATTTCACTTTACTTTCAACACGTCAGACTAAGTTTGACATTTGAAGGGAACTTGGGCCGGTTAGAAGACTGAGACAGGCATAAAGTGCTTTCTTTAGTTAGAGAGCAGGTGGAACAGACACACTTAAATCAGGTGAATCTGTGTAATGAAAATCAGCTGTATAAACAATTATCAAATTCCATCCATCCATCCATCTTCTCCCGCTTATCTGTGGTCGGGTCGCGGAGGTAGCAGTTCCAGCAGAGAGCCCCAAACGTCCCTTTCCCTGGCCACATCAACCAGCTCTGACTGGGGGATCCCAAGGCGCTCCCAGGCCAGCGAAGAGATATAATCCCTCCACCTGGTCCTAGGTCTACCCCTCGGTCTCCTCCCAGCTGGACGTGCCTGGAACACCACCCTAGGGAGGCGCCCAGGTGGCATCCTTACTAGGTGCTCGAACCACCTCAACTGGCTCCTTTCAGCGCGAAGGAGGAGCGGTTCAACTCCGAGTCCCTCCCGGGTGACTGAACTTCTCACCTTATCCCTAAAGGAGACGCCAGCCACCCTGCGGAGAAAACCCATCTCGGCCGCTTGTATCCGCAATCTCGTTCTTTCGGTCATGACTCATCCTTCATGACCATAGGTGAGGGTAGGAACCAAAATGGCCCGTTAGACAGAGAGCTTTGCCTTCTGGCTCAGCTCTCTTTTTGTCACAACGGTGCAGTAAAACGACTGCAGTACCGCTCCCGCTGCTCTGATTCTCCGGCCCATCTCACGCTCCATTGTTCCCTCACTCGAGAACAAGACCGAGATACTTGAACTCCTTCACTTGGGGTAAGGACTCATTCCCTACTTGGAGTGGAGAGTCCATCGGTTTCCTGCTGAGAACCATGGCCTCAGATTTGGAGGTGATGATCCTCATCCCAGCCGCTTCACACTCATTATTACACTCATTATCAAATTCCATGACTGTAAAATGTATCAATACTTGACCCCCAAAGCATCTGTTCAAATCCTTAATAGTACTATTCAGGGAAATAAAGCAAATATCTTTTTTTCTTAGGTGCCTCAAAGACATATTGATTTGAAGTACAAACATGCACCCAAATACAAACTCATACTGTTTTTTAAGAATATGTGTTCGATATAACAAGGCAAGAACACATGTTTGAAACACTCCCACAAAATACATTGAACAAAAA